ATGAGATAGTATATGTAAAGCACTTAGAATGGCACCTGAATAAGTAATTATTCAGGCCCAGACTTTTCCACATTGTGGTTTTTGCCACTAAGCCCAGAAGCCCTCTGTAGGAAGCCATGGGAAGTAACAGGCTCTCCCGCTTAATGCGCTTCCCAGTCCTCCTGTCTCCCCCCAACCCCCTTTTTTAAAAGAACAGTTTTAGGTTTACTGAAAAATTGAGAAGAATGTGGAATTTCTATACCCCCTTTCTTCCCCCCAGGCCTCCTTCGGCGTCTCCACTGTTATCATCTTGCATTAGTGTAGTACATTTGTTGTAACTGATGACAATATTGATATTTATAATTAGCTAAAGTCCGTAAGGGAATTCCCTGGTGGCCCAGTGTTAGGACTCTGCGTTTTCACTGCCAGGGCCCAGGTTCCATCCCTGGTGGGGGAACTAAGGTCTCGAAAGCCGCGTGGTGCGGCCAAATTTAAAAATAAATAAATAAAAAATAAAGTCCATAATTTACATTAGGGTTCACTCTTTGTGTTGTATATTCTATAGGTTTTGACCAATGTGTGACTTGTGTCCACCATTACAGTCCGGCACACAAGTTTCACTGCCCTAAAATCCTCTGTGCTCCACTTACTCATCCCTCCCTACCCCCACCTCAACCCCTGAAACCACCAATTCTTTCAGTCTTCATAGTTTTTCCTTTTCCAGAACATCAGAGGGTTGGAATTATACAGTATGTAGCCTTTTCAGACTGGCTTCTCTCACTTGGCCATTTGCATTTAAGGTATACTTTCATGACCTGATAACTCATTTCTTTTTATTGCTGAAAATATTCCATTGTATGGATGTACCACTGTTTATCCACTCAGCTATTGAAGAACAATATCTGGTTGCCTCCATATCTTGGCAATTATGAATAAAGCTGCTATAAACATTCACGTGCAGAGTTTTGTGAGGACATAGATTTTCAACTCATTTGGATAAATACCAAGGAGCTCAATTGCCGGACCATGTGGTAAGAGTATGTTTAGTTTTTTGTTTGTTTGTTTGGCCAAGCCGTGCAGCCTTCGGGATCTTATTTTTCCGACCAGGGATCAAATCCCCACCCCCTGCAGTGGAAGTGCGGGGTCTTAACAACTGGACCTCCAGGGAAGTCCCGAGTATGTTTAGTTTTATAAGAAACTACCAAACTATATTCCAAGTGGCTGTACCATTTTATATTTCCACCGGCAAATGAATGAGACTTCCTGTTGCTTCACAACCTTGCTAGAATTTGGTGTGGACAGTGTTTTGAATTTTAGCCATTCTAATAGGTGTGTAGTGGTAGCTCATTGTTTTAATTTGCAATTCCCTAATGACATATGATGCAGAGCATCTTTTTATATGCTTATTTGCCATCTGTATATCTTCTTTGGTGAGGTATCTGTTCAGATCTTTTGCCCATTTTTAATTGGGTCGTTTTTCTTCGTATTGTTCAGTTGTGGGAGTTCTTTGTATATTTTCGATATTAGTCCTTTACCATATGTGTCTTTTGCAAATATTTTCTCCAAGTCTGTGGCTTGTCTTTTCATTTTCTTAACAGTGTCCGTCACAGAGCAGACTTTTTAATTTTAATGAAGTCCAGCTTATCAATCTTTTCTTTCATGGATAGTGCTTTTTGGTGCTGTTTCTAAAAACTCATCAAAAAGCCAAGGTCATTAGTTTTTCTCCTAGGTTATCTTCTAGGATTTTTATAGCTTAGCATTTACATTAGGTCTCTGATGCTTACTGAGTTAATTTTGTAAAATATCTGTGTCTAGATTTTTTTGTTTGCATGTCCATGTCCAGTTGTTCCAGTGCCATTCATTGAAAAGACTATTCTTTCTCCACTGAACTGTCTTTCTTTTTCAAAGATCAGTTGATTACATTTGTGTGGTCTGTTTCTGGGCTCTCTATTCTGTTTCACTGATCTATTTGTCTATTCTTTCACCAACACCACACTGTCTTGATTACTCTATCTTTATATAAAGTCTTGAGGTTGGATAGGGACAGTCTTCCAACTTTGTTGTTGTTCTTCAGTATTGTGTTGGCTATTATTGGTCTTCTGCTTCCCCATATAAAATGTAGCATCAGTTTGTTGATATCCACAAAATAACTTGCTAGAATTTTGATTAGGATTACATTGAATAGACCAAATTGGGAAGAACTGACATCTTGACAATATTGATTCTTGCTATCCCCTGTACATGGAATTCTTGCTATCCCATTTATTTAGAATTTCTTTCATCAGAGTTCCATAGGTTTACCCCACATAGACCTTGTACATATTTTGTTGCATTTATACCTAAGTATTTCTTTTTATTTTATTATTTTATTTTGGTAAATAGTATTGTGTTTTAGTTTCAAATTCCAATTGTTCATTGCTGGTAAACAACTGACTTTGTATATTAACCTTGTATTCTGCCACCTTGCTATAATTGCTTATTAGTTTCAGAGGTTTTTTGTTTTTTGTCGATTCTTTGGGATTTTCTACCTAGATAATCATAAAAAATCATGATAAAAAAAGGAAATAAAATGTATACAGACTTGGAAAAAAGTAAAACTGATTTTTTTTTTTTTGGTCTTATTGCATTAGCTAGGACTTCCAGCACAGCATTGAATAGGAGTTGTAAGAGGGGATGTCTTTTCCTTGTTCCTGATCTTAGGAGGAAAGCATCTAGTTGCTCACCATTGAGTTTAATGTTAGCTATAGAGATTTTTTGGTACATGCTCTTTATCAAATTGAGGAAATTCTCTCTACTCCTAGTTTACTGACAGTTTTTATCATGAATGTGTGTTGGATTTTGTCAAATGTTTTTCTGCATGTTGATATGATCATATGATTTTTCTTTAGCCTGTTGATATGATGCATTATATTAATTGATTTTTGAATGTTAAACCAGCCTTGCATACCTGGAATAAATTCCACTTAGTCATGGTGTATAACTCTTTTTATATAGTGTTGAATTCAATTTACTAATTTTTTGAGGATTTTGCATTTTTGTTCATGAGAGATGTTGATTTGCAGTTTTCTTTCCTTTCTTATCTGGTTTTGGTATGAAGATAATGTTGGTTGCCTAGAATGATTTAGGAAGTATTCCCTCTGCTTCTATTTTCTGGAAGATGTTGTACAGAACTGGTATCATTTCTTCCCTAAATGTTTTGTACCAGTTAACCCATCTGGGCCTAGTGCTTTCTTTTTTGGAAGGTTATTAGTTTTGAATTCAACTTATTTAATAGAGATAGGCTTATTCAGATTATCTATTTTTCTTTAGTGAGTTTTGGTAGATTGTGTCTTTCAAGGAGCATTGGTAACTTTTGATTGTTTCTTAGAGTTTCCATCTCTCTGCTTACATTATCCATCTTTTCTTGCATGCTGTCAACTTTTTCGATTAGAGCTCTTTGCATAATAATCAGTTGTTTTAAATTCCCAGTCTGATAATTCCAACATTTTTGCTATGTCTGAGTCTGGTTCTGATTCTCGCCCTGTCCAAGCTGTGTTTTTTGTCTTTTAGTATGCCTTGTAGTTTTATGCTGAAAGCCAGACATAATATACTATGTAAAAGGAACTGAGTTAAATAGGCCTGTATTGTAAGGCCTTATGTTTATCTGGCTTGGAATTAGGCTGTGTTTATTATTTGCTGTATCTGCAGGTATGAGACTAAAATTTCCTCTGGTGTCCATGTTTTTGTCTCCTCTGTTGTCTTTGTGTTTCCCTAGAGACTGCTTAAATAAGGTCTGAGATGTGCAGTTCTTTCAGTTGTAATCCCCTGCTGTTAGGCAGGGGCCCTGTGGATGTGGTGGTACGGTGCTAGCGGAAAGGAAGAATTCTGTAGTCCTATGATTAGGTGTCAAACTTTTAGTGACTTCTGCCCCTGGGCTTTGACCTTCACAAGTGTATCCCAGTTGTTGGATTCCACCCCCCTTAGTGGAGGCAGAAAGACTAATTAGGGCTGGACTTGGACATTTCCCTTCCTCTGCATGAAAGGTTACAGTGGACTGGAGTTGGGTATTCTCCCTCCCTGGGTCAGTTAGGCTCTGGTAAAACCCCAGTCAATTAGACCCTGGTTAAATGATTTCTCTTGAGAATAGACCATGTTAAGGGAATAAAAGGCTTTGGGTGTAATTTCAAAATAGCTACTATTCCATTACCCCTGCTGGAAGTACAAAGGTTTTTCTTTTCTCCATTCTTTACTGTGGGGAGCTGGTAGGGCTCCTAGAGGTAGAACTCACAGAAATATTGGACTCCTCCCAAGGACTGGACCCCTGAAATTTTTAACTCTCAAGCTTGCCTACAAGCTTGAATTGCCTCCAGCAATTCGTCAACTGCAGTTTAAGTTTTCCTACCCTGATGCTGGCTCCATTGGTGGGGTTTCCTTTCTTGAGTTTTGTTTTCAGTGAATTGTGATTCTCTGTATCCACCTGTCTCTCCAGTTTTGCAGACAGCAGTTTGCCCTGAGGACTTCAATTCTCTGATGGATCTAAGAAGAGTAATTGATTTTCAATTTATTCAGCTTTTTTTTCTTGTTGTGAGGATGGGAATGTTGACTTCCAAGCCCCTTACCTGCTCTCCTCCTTTTTAGGAATCAGTCTGTGAAGGGAGCAGAAGGATTTGCAGGCACAAGGGGACAACCCGTCTCCTTACTAAGCTGGACCACGTGCCCAGACCAAAGGCCTTCCTGGTTGGGGCATCAAAACAACGCAGACAGCCCCTTCTCCAGGAAGCCTACAGAACCAACTTGGGCTGGCCAGAACTGCTCCTCTGAACCCTGTGCTGACCTCTATCACTGCACTTATGTAAGGAATTAGGAGTGTCTCTCTCATTGGTCATCAGGTAAAAGCCAGAAGTCTAATGCCATAATTGGGTCCAAGGGAAAAACCCAAGGCTGAGCAGAAATATTTCTAAATTAGTTCCTTTATTTATTTATTTATGGCAGTGCCTCGAGGCATGCAGGATCTTAGTTCCCCGACCAGGAATAGAACCCATGCCCCCTGCAATGGAAGCATGGAAGTTCAGAGTCTTAACCACTAGATCGCCAGGGAAGTCCCTTTCCAGCTTTATTTATTTATTTATGTCTATTTATTTTTGCCCATATTGAGGTATGCCAAGGCCATATCAGAGGTCTGATGACCAGGGAAGATAAGACCAGCAAAGCAAGCCAACAGGAGAAGGTCTAGACAACCTCCCTGCAGGGACCACACAGAGGGTGTGGTACTTACCTGCTTCCATCTTATATTTTAGGGATGGGTGGAGTCCAAGACAAGGTGGACACTTGGAAAATGTAATGAAATTGTCTATCTCTGGGGTAGTCTGTTTACTCCTCGAGATCAGGGCATGTCAGATTCCTCAGAGCACAGGACTGGCTCAGAGCAGCCTCAGTAAGTACTTAACCTGAACTGATCCTTAGGAAGCCCAGGGCACAATATTGGGCAGTAGAACAAACAAGTGTCAGCCCACAAGCTCTTACATCGATTTATTCTGACCCTCCTCTCCATGGAGAGTCAGAGAACAGGCTTCCCTGACTTAGGCAAGTTCTCCATCAAGGGGATTCGGAGACTTCAGCTGAGAAGATCCATCTCTCTTGGAACCAGACAATGAACAGTTGAAGCAGGACAAGTGCAGCACCCAGCCTGAAGCTGAGAGCCTGGGTGCATCCAAGCTGCCCTACTGGGAGGCCCCAAGGGAACAGCACCAGGAAATGCATATCACAGATGCCCTCAGAAACAGAGAGACCCAAGGCCAAGGAGCGGTATGCAACAGCAAGCAGGCTTTAATCAAGGGTGAAAACCAGCGTGACCCTAGCTTCTTCGGTTACACTGACTTCTCTTTTATCCTCAGGACATAGACAGGAAGGAGGCCTGTTTTCTAAGGACAACCTTTTTAGGAATCAATCTGTGAAGGGAGCAGAAATCAGTCTCCATCCCCAAACTGTTTCACGTGCTGGTTCGGATCTCTCTCACTCTGGTTGGCTTGCGGTCTGTTTTCAAGCATTTTCCTTCCTTGAGAACAGGAGTCTTCTCACATTCATCTGTGTTTTGAGGCACTGGGTATAAGGGAAGGAACCTGGGAATTAAGCTGCCTTTACACTAGCTGTTCCCTCCGCCTAGAGCACTCTTCCCCAGATATCCGCGTGGCTACTCCCTCATCTCCTTTACCCTTCAAATCGTTCCTCAAATATTACCTTCTCAACAAGGCTGTATTACAATCTGCTCCCTCTGCCAATCCTCCAGTTTTCCCAATCTCCCTTACTTTGCTCTATATTTTTTCATAGCTCTTAATAACTTCTGTCTTTGCTTTTCCTGCAGTATGAATATGATATGCCTAGTTATATCATAACATTATATATATATATATAATATTGACTGTGTCTTCGTATTAGTAGAATGTAAGCTCCATAAGAGCAGGAATTTTTGTTTGTTTTGTTGACTGATAAAGTGCATAGAAATGGCACACAAAAGGCACTCAACAAATGAGTGTCTGAATGAAAAGGGAAACCTAGGTTTGGATCTCGCCCTGTCGCTTACCAGTCAGCTGTGCGCCTTTGACAATTTGCTCCTCCCTCAGGCCCAGTTTCTTCATCTATGAGATTGGAGTCCAAGCACCCACCTCACTGGATTATGCATGTGAAGTGCCTGGCACTATCTATTGATAGTTAATAAACGGGCCGGTCAATTGACCTAATTACTGCCCCTCTCAAACGCTTCACCTTCCCATCTGTTGTAAGTACCCTTTACTCGGAGCCATCGCTAAGGCAATTAAGACCTTTAGGTCTGGGGCTGTGATGGGGGATGAGGGCATGAGGCCATGAAAAACCCAGAGATCTGAAGATTCTCTCTTTCTGGTGCCAGCTGAGCTGACTCAAGGGCAGCTGACCTCAGGCTCTCAGCAGGCCCCGCACCCCAATTACATGGCAGCAGAAGATCTGGAACCAATCTACTGGTTCTGTGAGAAATCTGAGCCCTCCTCTGACCTGCTAAACCACGTTTGACACAGTTGATTTTCTAAGCCCTCTGATCACCAGGGATCAAGCCTGCAGCAGGGAAAGAAACTCAGAGCTCACCAGGACCTCACAGGTATGTGGAGAGGATCAGGCCACTACATGCACAGGGAACGCCTCCTACTGCTTGGCACCTGTGGAATGAAGAGAGGATGCTCAGGAGCAGAGGTGAGGGTCCCATGTCCTGCCTCCACCTCAACAGCTGTGGATTCTTTCATTTCCTAAGGTTGCCAAGCTTCAGTGTGCTTAGCTGTAACATGAAGATATTAATAGATTTTCGTCCTCACTGGATTGCTATGGTGAGATACGCCTCTGAAGTGCTTTAGCACTTGCCAGGCACCTAGCTATAGTAATAGTCATTAGGTCATTTTCTAAGGCCTTTAAACACCAGATGAGTTCTATGGGACCCCCTTGCCCGTGGTGGCTTTGGCCAGTAAGAACCATACAAACTGTGGCTGTGAGGTAGGAAGAGGTGAAATATAACCATGCCTTCAGGGCTGTTCAACTCAATCGGCCAGAGAAGAGACAGCTTTCTCCAAAATCCGAAAAAAAAAATTTTTATGTCAATCTATTTATTTATTTTTATTGGGGTAAAGTTGATTTATAATATTATATAAGTTTCAGGGGTACAACATAGTGATTCACAATTTTTAAAGATTATACTCCATTTATAGTTATGATAAAATATTGGCTATATTCCCTGTACTGTACAATATACCCTTGTAGCTTATTTATTTTATACGTAGTAGTTTGAACCCTACCCCTATCCTGCCCCTCCTCCCTGCCCTCTCCCCACTGGTAACCACTAGTTTGTTCTCTGTATCTGTGAGTCTGTTTCTTTTTCAGTTATATTCACTAGTTTGTTTTATCTTTTAGATTCCACATGTAACTGATATCACACAGTATTTGTCTTTCTCTGTCTGACTTATTTCACATAACATAATGCCCTCCAGGTCCATCCATGGTGTTACAAATGGCAAAATTTCATTCTTTTTCTTAATGACTGAGTAGTATTCCATTTTGTGTGCATGTGCGTGCATGTGTGTGTGTGTGTACACACACCACATCTTTTTTATTCATGCATCTGTTGATGGACACTTAGGTTGCTTCCATATCGTGGCTATTGCAAATAATGCTGCTATGAACATTGGAGTGTATATATCTTTTCAAATTAGTGTTTTCATTTTCTTTGGCTATATACCCAGGAGTGGAATTGCTGGATCATATGGTAGTGCTACAACTAAAGTGAATCTACACATGGTGAGTGAGCACTTGATTACTTCTTTGTGTCTTCTAGTATGGTGGAATCTGAGCATTTATATGTATATTAAAATACTTAAAACTTTACACCCAAACTACTCTTCTATTCTTCTTTATATCACATTTATGGCCTTGGGTTGATTTTGGTTGAAATAGTGCAGAATCATGTGCAATTGTCTACGAATTTCATTCCAATGAAGTAAAGGAGACATTACAAAATATTTTTTCTAAAAGGGGGCATTCAGTCTGATAGAATTAAAAATTACTGTAGCATAAAACTTGTTTTTCTCATTTAACAATAAGATATAGAAATTTTTGCATATGTAGCATGCAAGTTCCATAGTTTAAATATTTACTATTAATGGACATATAGGATATTTCTAATTTGGTGCTGTTAGAAACAATGAATGTAATAAAATCTTCCCACGTTGTTGTGCACACGTGCAAGTATTTCTTAGGAATGGATATTGAGAAGTGAAGCTGCTAAATCAAGAGTAGAAATATTTTGGGCTTCCCTGGTAGCGCACTGGTTGAGGGGGACTCCGGGAAGATCCCACATGCCGCAGAGCGGCTGGGCCCGTGAGCCATGGCCGCTGAGCCTGCGCGTCCGGAGCATGTGCTCCGCAACGGGAGAGGCCACAACAGTGAGAGGCCCGCGTACCGCAAAAAAACAAAAACAAAAACAAACAAAAAAAAAAAGTAGAAATATTTTAACTTTTAAAAGGTACTTGGGGAATGCCCTGGCAGTCCAGCGGTTAGAACTTGGTGCTTTCACTGATGAGGGCCTGGGTTCAATTCCTGGTCAGGGAACTAAGATCCTACAAGCTGCATGGTGCATCCAAAAAAAAAAGGTACTGCCAAATTTCTTTCTAAAAAGGGATACCATTGGGAGATTGGGATTGACATATATACACTAATACGTATAAAATAGATAACTAATAAGAAGCTGCTGTATAAATAAATAAATAAAATTAAAAAAAAGAATAATTAGTTAAAAGTAAATAAAAAGGCATACCAAGTTATACTCCCACCAATAGTGTACAAAAAATAATCTTTTCCCCACATTCTTCCCAACACTTGAGTTTTTCGGTCTTTTCTTAAATTTTATATTGGAGTATAGTTGATTTACAATCCAAAATATATTTTAAAAAAATCCTTATACAACTTAATAGAAAAGCAAACAAACAATCCAATTAAAAAATGGGGGGCTTCCCTGGTGGCGCAGTGGTTGAGAGTCCACCTGCCAGTGCAGGGGACGTGGGTTCATGCCCCGGTCCAGGAAGATCCCACATGCCACGGAGTGGCTGGGCCCGTGAGCCATGGCCACTGAGCCTGCGCGTCCGGAGCCTGTGCTCCGCAACAGGAGAGGCCACAACAGTGAGAGGCCCGCGTACCGCAAAAAAAAAAAAAAAAAAAAATGGGGAGAGGCTCCGAATAGACATTTTTCCAAAGAAGACATACAAATGGCCAACAGGCACAGGAAAAGGTGCCCAACGTCACCAGTCATCAGGGAAATGCAAATCAAAACCACAATAAAATATCACCTCACACCTGTAAGAATGACCACTACCAAAAAGACAAGAAATAACAAGTGTTGGCAAGGACGTAGAGAAAAGGGAACCCTTATGTACTGCTGGAGGGAATGCAAAGTAGTGCAGCCACTATGGAAAACAGCATGGAGGTTCCTCAAAAAATCAAAGCTAGAACTGCCATATAACCCAGCAGATCCACTTCCTGGCATTCATCCTGTCAAATACAAATTGGCACTTGCCATCTACCTCTACAAGGATTAAATAATGTGCTGCTACATCTGCTGACTTTCAACACCCCCTGAAAGGAGTTCAGGGTGGAGAGCAGAAATGAGGTTCTCTGTGCTCTGGGAAAACTGGCAGGACAGGTCTTCAGATAGTTAGGTATTTTCAGGAGCTGATTTTATGAGCCCAATTCTTATATCTCCTCATATCTAGTAAAGCACTAAAATCCTTCAGGGTGGTGTCTGCTCCTCGTGACTAGCAGTAACCTTCTGCAAAAAAAATATGTACTTGATTGCATGTACTCCCCCTTCACCAAATCACATATATACTGACCTCCCCCACTACCTCCTTGGAGCAGTTTCTCAGAGCTATCTGAAATGCTGTCTCCCAGGCTATAGTCCTCATTTTGCCCCAAATGAAATTTAACTCACAACTCTCATGTTGTACATTTTTTCTTAAGTCAACAATCCAAAAGAAACAAAATCACTATCTTGAAAATATATCTGGGGCTTCCCTGGCGGCGCAGTGGTTGAGAATCTGCCTGCCAATGCAGGCGACATGGGTTCAAGCCCTGATCTGGGAAGATCCCACATGCCACAGAGCAACTAAGCCCATGCGCCACAACTACTGAGCCTGTGCTCTAGAGCCCACGAGCCACAACTACTGAGCCCGCGTGCCACAACTATTAAGCTCATGTACCTAGAGCCCGTGCTCCACAACAAGAGAAGCCACCACAATGAGAAGCCCGCGCACCACAATAAAGAGTAGCCCCCGCTCGCCGCAATTAGAGAAAGCCCGTGCGCAGCAACGAAGACCCAACACAGACAAAAATAAATAAATAAATAAAATAAATTTATTAAAAAGAAAAGAAAATATATCTGCACCCCAGTGTTCAATGCAGCGCCATCTGCAATAGCCAAGACAAGGAAACAACAAGAGTTCATCACGAGATGAATGGATTTTTTTAAAATGTGGCACATATACAATCAAACATTACTCAGTTGTAAAAAGAAGGAAATCCTGCCATTTGAGACAACATGGATGGATCTCGAGGGCATCACACTAAGTGAAGTCAGACAGAGAAAGACAAATACCAATACTGTATGATCTCATAGGTGAGATTTTTTTAAAAAATCAAAAACAAAAAAATGAAACTGAAGCCATAGATACAGAGAACAGATTGATGGTCACCAGAGGCAGTGAGTGAAATGGGTGAAGGTGGTCAAAAGCTACAAATTTCCAATTATAAAATAAATAAGTCACGGGTATGTAATGTACAGCATGGTGAGTATAGTTAATAATACTGTATTACATACTTGAAAGTTGCTAAGAGAGAACTTTTTTTTTTTTTTTTTAACCAGTCATCTTTTCTTGGATGTTAATTCTGCATCAGGATATGAAAGGATTCAGGGGTGCCGGGCAAAAGTCATGGTCAGGAATGCAGAGTATGCCCTCTTCAGAGGTACTCACTTGGCTGCTCATGTTTAAGTTCCTTGTAAGAACTGCAGTAGCTGAAAAGCACATAAGCTGCCAGCAACATAGAAAGCCCTACAATGCTCCCTTTCTTCATGTTGAAATACTTGTAATACCAGTAATAACCCCTTTGAAACGCTCCAGCAGTTCCTTTAAGGATGAAATCCCGCATTAGTATCCAGCTTGCCAGCTCCCTTAGTTTGACATTCAGGAGCTTCTTCTTCAGTGGTACAACTGATTCCATCTTGGAGTCCTGGCTGTCTGCCCCAATATCAACTTTTCCATGTTGAACAAAGTCTGAGGCATAACTAAAGCCCTTCTGACATTCTTCATCTTCATAGGGTTTCTCACCACTATGAATTCTCTGATGCAGAAGAAGAGATGAATGTTTTTCAGGTATAAACGTTTTTCTATCACTGATTATTTTATAACTTGAATCCAAATCTGTACTCCAGTTTCTTGTTTCTTCCCTCACAACCATCCAGGGTTCTTTTCCTTGCTCCAATAACACAATTATGTCTGGCTTAGAAATGGAATGGCCCAGTGAGACCAAGTTACTATAGTTCTCCATCATCACATTGTAGTACAACTTCTTCTGAACAAGGTCGAGAAATTCCCACTCATGCTGAAAGAACGCTATGGCCACATACTTGAATGTTATTGGTCCATGGGCCATGATTTTAGACCTGCAAGAGCTGATCTGTCCTCAGGGTTCCTTTACCAGAAAAACACAGAGTCCAGAAAACCCAGACCATCCCTTGCCAGCTTGGGGCTACCTCTGCACAGTCATTTCGCAGCAACCTATGCTAGTTTCTTGCTTGGATGGATGCCACTTACAGGCAGTTCCCAACAAGGAACATAGAAAAAGGCCCGAGGTGGAAGTCACCTCGTCAATTGTCTCAATCATTTTCTTTTTTTAGTATTTATTTATTTACTTGGCTGTGCCAGGTCTTAGTTTTGGCATGCAGGATCTTTAGTTGTGGCATACGGGATCTTTTTAGTTGTGGCATGTGGGATCTTTAGTTGTGGCATGCGGGATCTAGTTCCCTGACCAGGGATCGAACCCAGGCCCCCTGCCTTGGGAGCGTGGAGTCTTAGCTGCTGGACCACCAGAGAAGTCCCTGTCTCAATCTTTTTAATGTTTGTAAATCTTTAGAGATAAAAATTCTCATTTCAAGTTGCATTTAGCTAACACTAGTCAGGTTGAACAAACATCTTTTCAAATGATTCTTGGTCATGCTATTGCCTCAGTTAATTGAGAATTCACATCTTTTGTCCATTTTTTATTTTGGGTTGATTTGCAGAAGTACATATATTCTGACTACAAACTATTTGTTTGTTTAATATATATGTTGGAAATCAGTTTCTCCTAGTCTCTTGCCTATCTTTTAACTTTGGTCATACAGAAGTTTCAAATTTTGTTATAGTCAAATTTATCACTGGTTTCCTTTATTTCTTCATTGTTTTTGGTCTTCTTATAGAAGGCTTCCCCTACCTCTAGATATCATTTTCAATGGCTGCATAATATTTCATTGTATGGATATACCATAATTTGTGAAATTCTCTCTCACTACTGAAAATTTAAGTTGTCCCACCCTTTCACTAATATAAATAATGCTATGAAAAACAAAGTGTTCAAGTTGATATTTTTAAATATATATCTTAGTTCCTAGCAAAATGAGCATAATAAGTGTTTCTTGAATGAGGGAGGGGAAAATGCAGGACATTTTTTCCACACTCACTCAAGGCATGTTAAAAAAAATGCAGCCCAATGTACACCAAATTATTGGAGAATTAGCTCTACAATTCTACTTCTCCTTTAGCCCATCTAATCAAGAGTTGACTCTGCCTCTAAAATCTAGGCATGGAAGTAAAGCTTCATCTTCCCTCTAAGGTTGCCTTTCCAAAGGGTGTGACAGCTATCTGAGACAGGCCTTTAACCACATACCTGAGTCATCCTTATTATTGTGACTTCAGTTTTAGGGTGCCCTTTGCTTGGTGAGTCTTCAATGTTTACTTCTTAGAAGGTGGTAAATGAGCCTGAGAAGATGAGGTAGATGGAAGAGAAGCCTCCGGCTGGGCTGCCACAGATTTGTGAGAGGCAGCTCTATTTCCAGCAGGTGGAGCTTCATATGCTGGAGGTGGGGCTTCATTTCCAGCAGGTGGGGCTCCATACCCTGCAGGCAGGGCTTCATATGGCACTGGTGGGGTTCCATATCCCGCAGGTGGGGCTCCATATCCCCCACGCGGGGCTTCGTATCCCACAGGTGGGGCTACGTATTCCCCAGGAGGGGCTCCATATCCCCCAAGCGGAGCTCCATATCCTGCAGGTGATGCTCCATATCCTGCTGGTGGGGCTCTGTATCCTGGTGGTGGGGGTCTGTAGACCACAACTGGGTATGCTGAGAAGGAAAAATATCAGTTAGTCATTTTTTAGAGTAGACAAGGAATAAGTAAGAAGGAGGTAGAAGATAAAAAATAATACTGGGGCTTCCCTGGTGGCGCAGTGGTTAAGAATCCACCTGCGGGCTTCCCTGGTGGCGCAGCGGTTGAGAGGCCGCCTGCCGATGCAGGGGACATGGGTTCGTGCCCCGGTACGGGAAGATCCTACGTGCCGCAGAGCGGCTGGGCCCATAAGCCATGGCCTCTGAGCCTGTGCGTCTGGAGCCTGTGCTCCGCGATGGGAGAGGCCACAACAGTGAGAGGCCCGTGTACCGAAAAAAAAAACAAAAACAAAAACAAAAGAATCCGCCTGCTAATGCAGGGGACACGGGTTCAAGCCCTGGTCTGGGAAGATCCCACATGCCACGGAGCAACTAAGCCCGTGCGCCACAACTACTGAGCCTGTGCTCTAGAGCCTGTGAGCCACAACTACTGAGCCCACATGCCACAACTACTGAAGCCCATGCGCCTAGGGCCTGTGCCCTGCAACAAGAGAAGCCACCGCAATGAGAAGCCCCTGCACTGCACGAAGAGTAGTCCCTGCTCGCTGCAACTAGAGAAAAGCCCTTGCGTGGCAATGAAGACCCAATGTAGGCAAAAATAAATAAATAATTAAAATTAAAAAAAATAATAATAATAATACTGAAGCAAACTGACACAGGAAGAGAATTCAGGCAGAACAATGCAGAAGCCATATTCTTCAGCCATCACCAGCTGAAGGCTTTATCATTTCTTGTTGTGGAAGAATTCAAATCAACATGAAAACAACCCTATAGTTATATTTCTACATTACTTATAGTTGTACCCAGATACACACTTAATAAAGTTTGTTTTGATGATAAAAAAGTAATAAATGCTCAATGAGGAATATGTATTTGAGAAATAGAGAAGAGATAAAATTTTAAAAGTCATGAATAATTCCATAATCAAAAACTTAATATTTTGGTGCATTTATTGGTAGGATCTCTGTTAATCTTTTTTATACGATCATGATTATAACAACCATACAATTTTTAAAAAATCTGGCTCTTTTTACTTGACATTATGAGAAAGTTCTTTATATTATTAATGTATTTCATAAATTAAAAGCTGGACTATAGTTTATCATGCTGATAAGTGCTACTTATGATAAGTGCTCCCTGGTTGCTGGAGAGCATGTTGCTTCCAAATTTCCAATTAATATTATAATAAACATGAGTTTTATTTATTTCCTTGGCTACATTCCCTAAGTGATTTAACTGTATCAGTGTGAATGGACAACTGTCAAGTTACTTTTCCATAATCCATATTTATGTTTAAGCTATGTAGAAAACACATTAAAAGAACTGTCTTAAAGATGCTCAAAGAACTAAAGGAAAATGTGGAGAAAGTCAAGAAAATTATACATGAACAAAATAGAAATATCAATAAAGAGATAGAAAACCTAACAAGAAAAGAAACAAACAAAAAATTCTGGAGTTGAAAAGTACAATAACTGAAATGAAAAATTCACTAGAGGAATTTACATTCAGATTTGAATAGGCAAAAGAAAGAATCGGTAAACATGACTACAGGACAATAAAAATTGTTGATACTGAGGAACAGAAAGAAAAAGACTGAAGAAAAGTGATCAGAGCCCAAGGGACCAGTGGGACACTACCAAGCAGACCAGCATACACATTGTGGAAGTTCCAGAAAAAGAAGAGAGAGAGAAAGATGTAGAGAAAATATTTGAAGAAATAATGGCTGAAGACTTCCCAAATCTGATGAAAGACATGAATATAAACATCAAAGAAGCTCAATAAACTCCAAGTAAGATGAACTCAAAGAGATCCACACTGAGACACACTATAGTCAAACTTTCAAAAGCCAAAGATAAAGAGAGAATCTTGACAGCAGCAAGAGAGAAGTGAATAATCACATACAAGAGATCCTCAATAAGAAAGTCAGCAGATTTCTCACCAGAAACGTTGGAGGCTAGAAATAAACTGTCCAACAAGAATCCTATATCTGGCCAAACTCCTGTGAGAGTGAGAAAGAAATTAAGATGTTTCCAGATAAACAAAAGCTGAGGGAGTTCATTACTACTAGACTTGCCCTGCAAGAAATGCTTAAGGGAGTCCTACAAGGTGAAATGAAAGGACACTAGACAGTAATCTGAAACCATATGAAGAAATAAAGATTTCAATAAAGGTAAATCATTGAGCAATTATAAAAGCTAATATTATTATAACAATGGTTTGTAATTCCATTTTTGTTTTCTACATAACTAAAGAGACTAATGCATTTAAAAGAATTATTAGGTTATGTTTTGGGGGGCACAATGTATAAAGATGAATTTTGTGACATCAACTGAAAGGGGTGAAGACAGAAGGGCTGTAAAGGTACAGAGTATTTGTATGTTACTGAAGTTAAGACAGTAAAAATTCAAATTAGTGTTATAACTTTAGGATGCTAGATGTAACCCCCATGGTAGCCACACACACACACACACACACACACACACACACACAAACACACAGAACAGCTATGAAATATAAACAAAAGGAAATGAGAGTAGTGGGAGTCAAGATGGCCATGTGGGAAGACATGGAGTTAGTGTCTCCCCACAACTAGAGCACCTGCCAGCCTCTGGTGGGGGACTCTGATGCCCAAGGAGACAGGAGGAACCCCAAAGTGAACCAGTTGGTCATAGGGGGACTGAGGGGGGAGGAGAAGTGGAGGCCAGACAGGATCAGTGCCCCTGAGGCTGGGGAGATCAGGAGAAGCATGTGGGAGGGACTCTCTGGGAAGAGCAGGAGAGGAGTGGAGGGTGATTGCCTGGCCCACTCAGGCCGGGGAGCCTGCTGAGCTCCCAGACCGGTACCCACCCCATCCAGGCCGCGTGGGTCCTGGGGGCATAGAAGGGAGGTCAGAGAGATCAGGAGTCAAAATCAACTAAACACAAAAGAAGACAGTAATGCAGGAAATGAGGGTCAAAAAAGCTATAACGCATATAGAAACCAAATAGTGAAATGACAGAAGTAAGGCCCCCATCATCAGTAATTACTTTAAATGTAAGTGGATTAAATTCCCCAATCAAAAGACAGAGATTGGTAGAATGAATAAAAACTCATGATTAAACTGCATGCTGTGTGTATAAGAGACTTATTCTAGATACAAAGACATAAATAAATTGAAAGTAAAAGGTTGGAAAAAGATATTCCACGTAAATAGTAACCAAAAGAGAGCAAAAGTGGCTATACTAATATCTGACTAAATAGACTTTACATCAAAAAGATTACGAGATAAAGAAGGAAATTACATATTAATAAAATGTTCAGTACAGCAAAAGGATATAACAATTATAAACATTTACACACCTAATGACAGACCATCACATATATGAAGCAAAAACTGACAGAATTGAAGGAAGAAATAGACAGTACTACAATAATAGTTGTAGACTTCAATATCCTTCACTCACAATGATGGCTAGAACAACCAGACAGAAGATAAATAAGGAAATAGAGGACATAAAAAATACAACAAACCAACTGGATCTAACAGACAAATATATGACACTCTACCCAACAACAATAGAATACACATTCCTTTCAAGTATACATGGTACATTTTTCAGAATAGAACATATATTAGGCAACAAAGTAAGTCTGGATAGATTTTAAAAGATAGATGTCATACAAAGTAGCTTCTCTGACCACAAAGGGATGAATTTACAAATCAACAACAGAAGTAAAACTGGAAAAATTATAAATTTGTGGAAATTAAACACCGCACTCTTAAACCACAAATGGATCAAAGAAGAACTCACAAGGGAGGTTATAAAATACTTAGAGATGAATGAAAATGAAAACACAACATACCGGGACTTCCCTGGTGGTCCAGTGGCTAAGACTCGGTGCTCCCAATGCAGGGGACCCGGGTTCGATCCCTGGTCAGGGAATTAGATCCCACATGCCACAACTAAGAGTTTGCATGCCACAACTAAAAGATCCCACATGCCACAACCAAGACCCGCTGAAGCCAAATAAATAAATAAATTTTTTGAGCTTTTTTTTGTTTTTAATTATTATTATTTTTTTTTATTTTTATTTTTTGCAGTACGTGGGCCTCTCACTGTTGTGCCTCTCCTATTGCGGAGCACAGGCTCCGGACGCGCAGGCCCAGCGGCCATGGCTCACAGGCCCAGCTGCTCTGTGGCATGTGGGATCTTCCCGGACCGGGGCACAAACCCGCATCCCCTGCATCGGCAGGCGGACTCTCAACCACTGCACCACCAGGGAAGCCCCTAATTTATATTTTATACAGCAGGTTCTTATTAGTTATCTATTTTATACATATTTGTGTATATGTGTCAATCCCAATCTCCCAATTCATCCCACCACCACCCCACATAATAAATAAATATTTAAAACAAACAAACAAAAAACACCATATACCAAAGCTCAAAGGATGCAGCAAAAGCAACGCTAAGGGGGAAATTTATAGCTAAAAACACAGTAAAAAACAAAAAAGATCCTAAGTCAACAACCTAACCTAAAAACTTAAAGAACTAAGAAAAGAAGAACAAACTAAATCCAAAGCTAGCAGAAGGAAGGAAATAATAACAATTAGAACATAGATAAATGAAAAAGAGAATAGAAAAACAATAGAGAAAATCAGTGCAGCCAAAAGCTGGTTCTTTGAAAAGATCAACAAAATTGAGAAACCTTTAGCTAGACTGACCAAGAAAAAAAGAGAAGATTCAAATTATTAAAATTAGAAATGGAAGTGGGTACATTACTACTGATTCTACAGAGATAAGAAGGGTTATAATACGCTACTATGAACAACTGTATGTTAGCAAATTGGATAGCCCAGAAGAAATGGATAAATTCCTAGAAGCCTAAAACCGATAACACTAAATCATGAAGGAATAGAAAACATGTAGAGACCTAGTAAGGAGACTGAATCAATAATTTAAAAAATCTCCCAACAAAGAAAACACCTGGACCTGATTATTTCACTGCTGAATTCTACTAAACACATAAAGAACTAATACCAATCCTTCTCAAACTTTTCCAAAAAATTGAAGATGAGGGAACATTTCCTAACTCATTTTATTACCTATTGTGAATAATGCTTCCATGAACATGGTATACAAATGTCTCTTAGACCCTGCTTTCTATTCTTTTGGTATATACCCAGAAGTGGAATTGCTGGGTCATTAAAAATGTTTTTAGGAACCTCCATACTATTTTTCACAGTGGCTGTCCCATTTTATATTCCCACCAACAGTACATAAGCATTCCAATTTCTCCACATACTTGCCAACATTTGTTGTTTACTGTTTTTTTTTTTGATAGCAGCCATCCTAATGAGCAAGAAATGAAAACTTATGTTCTCACAAAAACCTGTACCAAAACCTGCAACCAACCCAGATATACTTGAGCTGCTGAATGGTTAAACAAACTGTTGTACATCTATACCATGAACTATTACTCAACAAAAAGAAGGAACAAATTATTGATACATGCAAGAACCTGGGTGAATCTTGAGGAATAATGCTGAGTGAAAAAAGTCTATCCCAAAAGCTTACATACTACATGATTCCATTTATATAACAATCTTGAAATGTCAAAATTATAGAAATGGAGAACAGATTAGTGGTTGCCGTGCGTTAAAGAGGAGGGGGAGGAAGGGAAGTAGGTGTAGCTATAAAAAGACAAACAGAAGTGATCCTTGTGGTAATGTAAATGTTCTGCATTTTTATTGTATCCATGTCAATACCCTGGTTGTGATATTATACTATAGTTCTGCAAAATGTTACCAGTGGGAGAAACTAGGTAAAAGGTATAAAGAATATCTCAGTATTATTTCCAAAAACGTATGGGAATCTACAATTATCTCAAAATAAAAAGTTTAATTAAAAAACCATAATTATAGCAATAAACAATCCAAAAAGGAAATTAAGAAAACAATTACATTTACGATAGCATCCAAAAGAATAAAATACCTAGGAATAAATGTAACCAAGGAGGTAAAAGACTTGTGCTTTGGGACTTCTCTGGTGGTGCATTGAGAAGACTCCACGCTCCCAATGCAGGAGGCCCAGCTTCGATCCCTGGTCAGGGAACTAGATCCCACATGCATACCGCAACTAAGAGTTCGCATGCCACAACTGAGGATCCTGCATGCTGCAACTAACACCCAGCGCAACCAAATAAATAAATAAATATATTTTTAAAAAGACTTGTGCATTGAAAACTACAAAACATTACTGAGATAAATTAAAGAAGACCTACATAAATAAAAAGAGTTCCTATGTTCATGGGTTAGAAGACAATATTAAATTAAGATAGCAATTCCCCCATAACTGATCTACAAATTAAATGCAATCCCTATCAAAATTCTAATGGTCTTTTTGCAGAAATGTAAAAGTTGATTCTCAAATTCATATGGAGCTATAAGGGACCATGGATGGCCAAAACAATATTGAAAAAGAAATACAAAATAGGAGGACTCACACTTCCCTATTTTGAAACTTACTACAAAGTTACAGTAATCAAAACAATGTGGTACTGGCATAGGATAGACTCATATACCAATGGGAATAGAACTGAGAGTCCAGAAATAAACCTAAACATCTATTACCAATTGATTTTCAACAAGGGTGCCAAGACCACCCAGTGGGGAAAGAATAGTGTCTTCAACAAATGATTCCTGGACAACGGGATAAGCACATGCAAAAGAACAGAGCTGGACCCTAACCTTACTCCATATACAAAAATTAACTCATAGAGACTTCCCTGGTGGTCCAGTGGTTAAGACTCCATGCTCCCAATGCAGGGGGCCCGGGTTCGATCTCTGGTCAGGGAACTAGATCCTGCATGCCGCAACTAAAAGATCTTGCATGCCGCAATGAAGATCTTGCATGCAGCAACAAAGATCCCATGTGCCACAACTAAGACCCAGTGCAGCCAAATAAATAAATATTCTTTAAAATTAAAAAAAAATAACTCGTAACGAATCAATAACTGAAATATAAGAGCCAAAATTATAAAACTCTTAGATGAAAACATAGGGGTAGATCTTCATGACATTGGACTTGGCAATGGATTCTTAATTTGATACCAAAAGCACAAGTAACAAGAGAAAAAAATAGATAAATTCATCAAAAATTAAAACTTTTGTGCATCAAAGGATATTCTCAAGATGTAAAAGATGACCTACAGAATGGGCAACATATTTGCAAGTCCCATATCTGATAAGGATATCCAGAATATATAAAGAACTCTTACAACTCAAACAATGAAAAGACAAACTACCCAAGTTAAAAATGGGCAAGGACTAGAATAGATATATCTCCAAAGAAGATATGCAAATGGCCAAGAAGCACATGAAAAGATGTTCAATATCATTTATCATCAAGGAAATGCAAATTAAAATTATAATGAGATATCTCCTCACAATCACTAGGATGGCTTTAATATAAACAACAAGCAAAAAAAAGTTAAGTAACAAGCATTGGCAAGGATGTGGAGAAATAGGAACTTGTACATTGCTGGTGAGAATACAAAACAGTGCAGTTGCTGTGGAAAATAGTTTGGTGGTTCCTCAAAAAAGTTAAACATTAAATTACCATATGACCCAATAATTCCAAATGTAGGTATATACCCAAGAGAAATGAAAACTTATGTCCACCTGGAAACCTATATACAAATGTTTGTAGGAGCTATTATTCATAATAACCAACAGGTGGAAACAAGTCAAATGTTCATCAGTGGATGAATGGATAACAAACTATGATACATGCAATGGAATATTAGTCAGTTACAAAAAATGAATAAAGTACTGATAATGCTACAGCTTGGATGAACCTTGAAAATATTATGCTAAGTGAGATAAGCCAAACACAAAGGTCACATGTTGCTTGACTCCTTTTATGTGATATACACAGAATAGGCAAAGCAGATTAGAGGAAACCAAGAGATGTGGGGAGGGGACAATGGGGAATGATTACTTAGTGGGTATGGAGTATTCTTATGGAGTGATGAAAAAGTTTTATTTTGTTTTTTTTGGCCTCGCCACGCAGCATGCGGGATCTTAGTTCCCCGGCCAGGGAGCAAACCTGCGTCCCCTGCAGTGGAAGCGTGGTCTTAACCACTGGACTGCCAGGGAAGTCCTGAAAAACTTTTGAAACTAGAGAGAGCTGACGGTTGTACAACATTGTGAATACGCTAAATACCACTGAATTGTATATTTAAAAATGGTTAATTGTACGTTATGTGAATTTCAACTCAAAAACACTTTTATAAAACTTTAGCAACACTTACTTTTAGATCTTGAATATTAGATTTTAGTAACCCTTAAAAACTAAGGTAACTATTAAGACTATAGATAACTATCCTTCAGCTGTATACAAAACTAAATAAGCCGATGGACATGTACGTCATGCTCCAAGAAGAACCCAAGAGGCAGCCTGCATTTGGGGGTCTGTTGGTAACCTGTTAGGAGACTTTTTGTGGTCCACCAACAGACTGTGGACCGTAGTTGAGAATCACTGATCTATGTCTCCTGGGAACATGACTCAGCAGCTATGGACAGGCACGACGGTTAAAGGAAAGTGTACAGGGCATAAAGCCGAGGACTGGAGTCCTCAGTGAGGTTGAAGGGCATGGCACAAGCATGATGGCTATGCTTGTGTGAAAGGGGAAGGGGGAAGTTGGCAAGAGCACATGTTTCTGCTCAGGCTGTAAGCAGGAAGTGGCTGTTCCCACTGATGGGAGTTGCCCAGCTATGCTCCATATTTGTACATTATAGTTAAAAGTAAACCTGAAGTGGAAGCCTGGTCATTTACTGACTTGCCACTGAGTTTTAGTCTGGAAATGAAGTCATGGACTCAACCATTTTCCAGCCCCCCAAACCTCTGCTGCTTCTTCTGCAGCAGAATTGGAGGCAAGGTAGCAGTGAATAGATCTTTGAGCCCCTGGCATACCTTTCCACCTCCCAGGAAGAACCTCCATGCCATATCTTACCTGGACAAGGCGTCTGTTGGGTGCACATCATGCCCCCTGGTGCAGTAATTATATAGAGTCCTGAAGTGCCGAACCAGTAATTTACACTTCTAAGTGGAATTCCTCTGGCAGCTGAGAAGACAAGTTTGGCAAAATAGGGACTCTTTAATTCTTTTAAGTCGGATGTACAGCAGCTAGCAACCAAATAATTAACAGAGTATTGACCATCACCTTACATGTGTGTCCAACAATGTCCCCAGGATACAAGATTAAAAATATACATTGCCCTTGTCCTCAACTGTATGCTTCTTGAAGGCAGTGATTGTGTATATTTGCCTGTGCTTATTGAAGGCCTAGCATAACACCTACCATGATAGGTATTCAGAAAAAATTTCCAAGTGAGAATTCTATCAAGTTGGCAAGTCCATTAAAGGCCAATGTAATGGCAGTACTAAAGAAAGCACTTCTGTTTGTCTCCCTCTGCCTCTCTCTTAAAAGGACACTTTTGATGGTATTTGGGGTCCAGTTGAATAATCCAGAGTAATCCCCTCATCTCAAGATCCTTAATTATACCTGAGAAGGCTTTTTTTTTTTTTTTTTACAAACAAGGTAACATTCACAGATTCTGAGGATTAAGACACAGATTATATCTTTGGGAGCCATTGTCAGCCTGCCACACTAATTTCTGGCCTATGGCATATGACCAGAAGTAATGTACACCGCTTCCAGGCCTGACCCATGAAAACTTCCCAGGTGAGATCTTTACTCTCTTCCCCTCTCTGCTCACTACCCAAAGAGGTCTTGGAAGCCATGTGTTAACAATGGCAGAGACTCTATTACCCTGGGTCCCTGAAGGGCTATGTGGAACAGAGCCCCCTTTCACCCCTGCTGATTGGCCTTTATATAAGCAGTAATATCCATTATTTTAAGCCATTGATAATTTGGGGTTTATCTGTTTCAATAGCTAGCATTATCTTAACTAATTCACTCTGAATCTAAAGTTGTCATCCTTCCCTGTTACCCTCCCTTTCAATATTCTATTAGTATCCCCTTTCAGAATAAGTCACTATTTTATTCACTTACATGTTTGCTTATTTCTTATATGACTCTCACTAGACCATAAGTTTAACAAAAGCAGGGACTATGTACTTATGTCTCGTTCACTGTTGTGTTCCCAATTGTCGCTCCTAGTGTTTGGCACACAATAGGTACTCAATACATGTTTGTTAAAAACTTAAATCGAAGAGCCCTGACAAAGCAACTCTGCTGAGGGGAAAGGAATCTTTCCTGGTCATATAATCAGCTCATGATGCATGATGGGTGTTTAATTAATTCCAAAGGCCTCAAGGAAGCCCATTCACAAGACCTGACTCTTGCCAGGGGAGTAGGCATAGGCTTCCACACCTAAACCATGACATAATCAGACCCAGAGCAGTTTCAGACATTGGGCCAAGTTCATATAAGTTGCCTAAATCCTTTCCAAGTGGCTGTGCAATGGCTGAGACACTGACCTTCCTTTGCAGGCCAAGAAGCAGAACTTAATGAGAGCACAAAGAGAATCCCCTGAAGTTGCCTGACCCTTATCTCATAATCCTAAAAATAAGCCCCCTCAGTACTGTGAGGCCAAAAATAAGAGTGAATTCAAGACTGAGAATGCAATTGTCCCGAGTTCCCCAGACATCTGTAGCAAAGGGGAACTGGATTTCCAAGTGTCCCCTGACCCGGATTCTTCATAGCTACACTCCCTCTGTCTGTAGGACACTCTGTTATCCAATGTCAGGCTTCCAGATGCTGTCTGCCCTCTGGACCATGAAGAGCTGCCAGTTGGGTACAGCTTGTGAACTCCTTGGCCTTTATATATTTGCACTGTATTTTTAACAGTAACTGCAACAAATTTTCTTACTCCTCAATTTTCTCTAACATGGTTCTTCATCACCCCTCTTCTCCAGCAGTTCACTGAAATCTCTTGATAATTCTGCCAAAAACCTCAAATTTCCTCCTGCAATGCACATTTTTCAGTCTTCATTTTACCAAACATCTCTCCAGCAGCTGACAGATGACTACCCAGTAATGCTTGAACCTTTCTCCTCCCTTGACTTCCAGGATAATGAACTCACTTGATTCTTCTCTCACCTCTCAATCAGCCCCTTCTCAATCTCCATTGAAGGTCACCCCTCCCTACCTATCCTTTAAATGTTGAGGACCCTTGGCATACCATCCTTAATTCACTGAATGAGCCCATCATTCACATGGCTTCAGAGATGACCGATGTGCTGAGGATTTCCAAATCAGTGTCTTGATACAGTGCATCTTTGGAGCTCCAAGCTGCATGTCTACTGCCTCTAGCAGCTTGTGTACCTCACACTTAATATGGTGCAGGGGTTAAGAGTGTAGGCTCAAAAGGACACAACATCTTTTATACAGTATTCCTGCCAAAATACATGACCTGAATATAATCATGAGGAAACAGACAAACACAAATTAAGGGATATTCTACGAAACAATAAGGCTGTATTCTTTTTAAAATGTCAGGGTCATGAAAGACAAAAAGAAAGGCTGAGTGCAGACTAAAGGAGACCAAAGAAATAGGACAACTGAATTCAATATGTGATCTGGGATTAGATCCTGGATTGGAAAAAAAAATGCTATTAGAATTAGGAATAGTAATGGTCAATCATTTGAATTTGAATAATCAATAGTATTGTTTCAATGTTAAATTTTCTGATTTAATGAGCACACTGAGGTTAGATGAGAGAATGCCCTTGTTCTTAGGAGGTACACACTCAAATATTTAGAAATGAAGGAAATGATCTTTGTGACTTACTCCCAAATAGTTCAAACAAAAGCAGGAAAAAAAAAAAAGAATAACATAAAGCAAACGTGGGGACTTCTCTGCTGGCGCAGTGGTTAAGAATCCGCCTGCCAACGCAGGGGACACGGGTTCGAGCCCTGGTCTGGGAAGATCCCACATGCCGCGGAGCAACTAAGCCCACGCGCCACAACTGAGCCCGCACGCCTAGAGCCCGTGTTCTGCAACAAGAGAAGCCACCGCAATGAGAAGCCCGCTCACCACAATGAAGAGTAGCCCCCACTCACCGCAACTAGAGAAAGCCCGTGCGCAGCATCGAAGACCCAACACAGCCAAAAATAAATAAATAAATAAATTTATTATTTTTAAAAAAGCAAATGTGGGAAAATGTTAATAATGGGTTAATCTAGATGAAAGTCCATGTGAGTTCATTGTAATATTCTTAAAACTTTCTATAGATCTTATTTTTTTTCAAAATGAAAAGTTTAAAGAGAGAATGTTTAAGGTTCAAATTCCAGCTCCACCACTTGCTAACTGCATAGCCTTGAGAAATTATATAACCATCACTGACTCAGTTTCCCTAGCTATACATTGGGGATAATGATAGAACCTACATCATAAGTTTTTGTGAGGATTAAATAAATTAACACATGTAAAGGCCTTGGAACACTGCCTAGTATATGATAAGCATTCAATAAATGTTAGCTAGTATTAATTACTATGTCTAAAGTTGAACTCAATTCCTCTCCAATTTAGACTACCGCTTATAATAATTTTTTTTTTTTTTGGCCACGTGGCTAGCGGGATCTTAGCTCCCTGACTAGGGATGGAACCCGGGCCAATCCCCAACCACTGAAAGCATCGAGTCCTAACCACTGGACCGCCAGGGAATTCCCTAGACTATCTCTTATACACTTGACTATGGTCTATAGCATCATGATCCAGTCAGTCTTCTAAGGTAGAAAATTCACTACATTCGTCTGTGTGTCCCCAGAACTTTGCCCATGCCTCTATTACAGCACATGCTATAAGATAGGATAATATATTTGCATATGTCTATCTCTACTGGACTGTGTTTGTCTCAACTAGACTGGAGTTGGGGGTGGAGAAGGCAAGGGAGAAAGGGGAAGAGCATTCCAGACAGAGCAAATAGCATGAAGGCTCAGAGATGGGAGAGCAAGGCACAAAGAAACCCAGTCGGATTGGAGTACAAAAGGTGAGAGAATAAGGGATATAAAGTGAGGCTAGATTGAATTAAAATATAACATAAAAAGATTATTTGTATCCTCTGGTACATCCATTAGATCAGTGCTGCAGGGCTTGATGGTACCTCTTCCCATGCTTTAGTCCCATGGAAGATGGGAATTAAACCTAAGAAAAGCAAAGGCAAAGTCAGAAAGGAGAGAAGACAAAAAGCCATGCCAGAGGAAGAAGAGCCAAGGCCACGCTACCGAAAACAAGACTACTCAGTGATACATGAGACCGGCACTTAAATGGATAAAAGACTATCAGGTATAATTAGCTGTTCAGGTGTCTGACGGTAAGCTCCCATTAGACTGCAAACTCCTTCAGGACAGGGAGGGACTAAATCTTGTGTTCCTAGCACGTAGTATGTTACTTGGCACATAGTCAGTAGGCTCAGGAAATGCCCGCTGAATACATGTGCAAACATCAACCGCCTGACCACAGAGGCCAGAAGTCTTCACTAGCTAACAGTCTCACTTCAATTACACAGGCCCCCAAACCCCAAAGCGCTTGATAATTTTATAAGCATCGCTCACCAGCAGAGGCAGCTTTCATCAGCAGCTGGGCAAATTCAATGGCACCTCCTTTTCTGAAGGATAATTTAAAAATAGCCTGTCCTTCCCAGCCACCTGGAGGAAGAAATGGCACACACTCACTAAGAGGCTGGCATGCTGTAACAGAAGGACTGCCACAAACACTAAGAGAAGCACTACCCAATGAAGCAGGGGCCAAGTCTGAATCTTAAACCTTCTGGAAGCTTTCGAGAAAAAATACACTTCTGAGGGGGGACACTTACCATCCGGAGCTGCCTGAATGGTTCCTTTAATGTAGTTGGGGGCAAAGATTGGTTGTTGAATGGTGCAATTACTCATCAGACCAAATGGCATCATAAAAGAAAGCATGGGGTCACTGACTAAGTGTGAAGTCACGAAGATCACCTAAGAGAGAAAAGAAACTTTGGAAAAGGAATGCAGTTTATCCATGGATTGAGACATATAAGAGCAATTCTGAAGTTAAGGCTGCTTTGGCATTCTGGCCTAATTGAGAAGCATGACCAATTTTCTTCCATCACACTTCAACATGGAAAATCTCAAAGGAGAAACGGTTTAAAATACTTTGAAAGTCAATGTTTAACCTCTCTCCATTTTAAGGAAAAATGTAGAGTTAATCAGATCAAAGTAGAAGCAGAAATTACCCGGTATGAAGTGAGAAACAATGTTCCTCTTTTTGTACCATTAAAGAGATCATATCCCACTGGTTGCTGTAGGAAGGAGAGGTCCACATCCTGACTCTGCTTCAAGACACTGCAGAAAAGACAGGGCAGACAGCACACAATTTAGAATCTATATAAAATTATACAAACAGAGCTAGTAGCATAGTTTCTAGCCTGGAGGGAGATTTTAATAAAAGTTACTTGCTGCTGCTACGCTACTACTATTTTATTAAAATAGATAGGAATTCAAATGATCTTATTCTGACAATTCACACTTATTCGTCTTCTTTATCATTGGGTTCTTTTTAAAAAAAAATTAGTTCCCCCACTCTTTTATTAATTAATTAATTAATTAATTATTTTTGGCTGCGTTGGGTCTTAGCTGTGGCACTCGTTATCTTTCATTGTGGCTCACAGGCTCTTCACTGCGGCACGAGGGCTCTCTAGTTGAGGCTCATGGATTTAGTTGCCCCACAGCATGTGGGATCTTAGTTCCCCAACCAGGGATCGAACCCCCCTTCAACTTCATTGGAAGGTGGATTCTTTACCACTGGACCACCAGGGAAGTCCCACTGGGTTCTTCTTTCTTATCAAACCTAATTCTATTCTTAATGTATATTCATTAATTCTCCTACTTCTTGTGCAGTTGGTATAAAGCACTCTGTTAACGGAAATGTTTCTTGGACTCTGGTAAAGAATGTTAGGCACACGCAGAGTGCTCCCGAACCCTCTGACATGTTCCCTCTGTCTGTCATGTTCTCCCTGCACTCCTAACCTGAAAAACTTGGGCTCATCCTATTCTTACTCATAGAATCCTACTGAGTTTTTTCCCTTTCTTAGCAATTTATATATATAAATTATAAATATATAAGTGGGTGCTACTAAATATTGAAAGAATGAGTGAATGAAAACATGAATATAGGTAATAATGCAAGAAATATATGACATACCTCACATAAATGGAACAAAAATATCATGGCAGTTTGGTGGAAGGAGAGATTAGCTCTTGGTTGAAGTAATTAGGAATGACTTTACAGAAAGGTTGACATTTGAGCTGATTCTTTTTTTTTTTAGGCCATGCCGTGCAGCATGCAGGATCTTACCTTCCCAACCAGGGATCCCCTGCATTGGGAGTGCAGAGTCTTAACCACTGGACCACCAGGGAAGTCCCATTGAGCCAATTCTTAAGAGATGAATAGTGTTTCAGTAGGCAGAAGTGAGGGTAGGGGAAAATCCTGATGGGGAGCAAACAGCATTAATGGAGGTATGCAGTGGAAAGAAAACTGCGTACTTGGGAGCAGCCTACCTGTGTGGAGTCATCAAAACAGCATGGAAGCGAGACTGGGAGGAATAGTGAGATAAAGCTGGAATCATGCTGGGACTAGAGCTTGGAGACATCATTCAATAGGCAAGGCAGAACTGTGACTTGCAGCTGTCTCAGCAGGGAAGTCACATGATCAAGGAAGTGGTGGTATGTCAGAGGGATCCATTTAAGAGTTCCTAAAAATGTTCCGATATGAGGTAATAAGAACTGGAACTAGGATGGTGGTGTATGGATAAAAAGGGCTTTTTAAGAGACTATGAAAAAATAGGATGTCAGCAAAAATGGTGGAATAAGGAACTCTAAATGTCAGCCTAGAGCTCTAGAATCTAATCAAAAGTTTATAGCAACCAGGGGAATGTTTAATCAAGAAAAAAATAGTTGAATGTCAATAAGGGAGTTTTGTGCACTTTAACTTACCCTAGTACTATCCTCCACTCCCCAGTTTGGCAACAGCCTTGACAACAACCACCCATATTCTCAGTATAGGTGCCCACTCCTGGGGGGAGGAGAACAGACCTTATTGTGGTTGTCTGTTTTGACCTGTCCAGTGGCTTCCTGGAGGACTAGCTCTAAGGGCATGTGCCTAACTCAGAACTCTCTTAGGACTTAGGCAGCTACCTAGGGCACATTTGTCAAAAACATTTCAAGGCAAATGTGTTAGAGCTGCTATCTGGGGCAAAGAATGACATTTTGGGCTAACAATAAGAAAACTGAAAAGTGAGGAAGGAAAGACTGGGAAATGAGATACTTTGAGGAATAAAGGCTTTGAAAACCTCTGACATGTTCATGGGAATCTAGAAAGCACCACACATACATTTTCAGGGCTGAGTTCATGCTCAGAAGAACCTGAGAAGGCCCCAAAACTGTTACCTCTGGTTGACAGTGAGGCTCTGCTCAAGCAGGCAGTGAAAGCTAAGACAGAGTTTTAAACTGCCTAGCTGAGTGATAAAGACAGGCTCCAACACACACACACACACACACACACACACACACACGCCATCTGCAAAGGCTGGGATTTTGTTGTTGTTGTTCCAAACATACAAGTAAACTGTCAAATCACTAGCTAGCCTCTAAATTAACATAAAAGAGGCCACACATGTCATTAGCCACACATAACAAAGAATATAGACTTTACAACATTAGTTCACGGGGCTTCCCTGGTGGCGCAGTGGTTGAGAGTCCGCCTGCTGATGCAGGGGACATGGGTTCGTGCCCCAGTCCGGGAAGATCCCACATGCCGCGGAGCAGCTGGGCCTGTGAGCTATGGCCGCTGAGCCTGCGCATCCGGAGCCTGTGCTCCGCAACGGGAGAGGCCACAACAGTGAGAGGCCCGCATACCGCAAAAAAAAAAAAAAAATTAGTTCAGAAAAATCATTAAACAATAACTACAACATGCAACAACACCCTGTGGAAGAGGGAGAGTCTGATTTCCAGAGTTGCCACATTATAATTTTTAAAAATGTCCAGTTTTCAACAAAAGAAAAACATGAGGCATGCAAAGAAACAAGAAAGTATGGGACTTCCCTAGTGGTGCAGTGGTTAAGAATCTGCCTGCCAATGCAGGGGACGTGGGTTCAAGCCCTGGTCCGGGAAGATCCCACATGCCACAGAGCAACTAAGCCCGTGCGCCACAACTACTGAGCAGGCACTCTAGAGCCCATGAGCCACAACTACTGAAGCCCGTGAGCCACAACTACTGAAGCCCATGTGCCTAGAGCCCATGCTCCGCAAAAAGAGAAGCCACTACAATGAGAAGCCTGCACACTGCAACGAAGAGTAGCCCCTGCTCAACTCAACTAGAGAAAGCCGGCACGCAGCAATGAAGACCCAAAGCAGCCATAAATAAATAAATAAATAAATTTATTTTAAAAAATTAATTGAAACTGCCCCTTAGGAAGCCAAGAAATTAGATTCACTAGACAAAGACTCTAAATAAACTATTTAAAATATATTCAAAAAGTTAAAAGAAACAATGACTTAATAACTTAAGGAAAAGGATGAAAACAATGTCTCATCGTGTAGAAAATACAAAAATAAAAAGATAGAAATTATAAAAAGGAACCAAACAGAAATTCTGGAGTTGAAGACTATAATAACTGATATAAAAAGTTCAGTAGTGGGGGACTTAATGGCATATTTCAGCAGGCAGAAGAATCAGTGAACTTGAAGATGGGTCAATTGAGATGAATAGTTACTACCTGAGTAACAGAAAGAAAAAAGAATGAAGAAAAAGGAACAGAGTCTAACAGACCTGTGGAACACAATCAAACATATCAACATATGTATTATGCGACTGGCAGAAGGAGAGGAGAGGAAAAAAGGGGGAATAAAGAATTTTTGAACAAATGATGTCCACAATTTTCCGAAATTTAATGAAATACATGAATCTACACATCCAAGCTCAACAAACTCCAAGTAGGATAAACTCAAAGAGATCCACACTGAGACACATTGCAATCAAACTGTTGAAAGCCAAATACAGAGAATCTTGAAAGCAGCAAGAGAAGAAAATTATCATGCACAAGGAATCCTCAGTAAGACAAACAGCTAACTTCTCACCAGAAAATATGGAGGTAATGGGATGAAATATTCAAAGTGCTAAAAGGAAAAAAAAATTGTCAACCAAGAATTCTAAATCTGGCCAAACTATCCTTCAAAAATTAAGGAAAAATTAAAACATTACCAAGTGAACAAAAACTGACAGAGTTTATCACTACTAGATCTGAACTATAAGAAATGTTAAAGGAAGTCCTTCTGCCTGAAATAAAAAGACACTGGACAGTAAATGAAATCAACACAAAGAAATAAAGAACACTGGGAAAGATAATTACATAGGTAAATTAAAAATCAATATTAATGAATTTTGGGTTTGTACATTTCATTTCATCCTATATGATTTAAAACACAATTGCATAAAACAATAATTATAAATATATAATGATGAGCACACAATGTATAAAGATGTAATTTGTGACAATCACAATATAAGAGGGCAGAGCTATGTAGGAGTAAAGTTTTTGCATATAATTAAAACTAAGTTGGTATTAATTTGAACTAGATTGTTATAAATTAAGATGTTAAACATAATCTGTGGGGCAACCACAAAGAAGATAACTAAAATACATGCAGCAAAGGAAATGAAGAGAGATAAAGATGGTACACTAAGAAATATCTGTTAAACACAAAAAAGCACTCATGGAGGAATTGAGGAACAAAAATGATATAAGAAATATAGAAAACAAATAGCAAAAGAGCAGAAGTTAAATTCTTCCTTATCAATAATTACATTAAATTAAATGGATTAAAGTCTCCAATTAAAAGGCAGAGAATGGTAGAATATATTTTTTTAAAACATATTACTGCTATAGACTGTCTACAAAAACTCACTTGAGATCTAAAGACACAAATAGGTCGAAAGTAAAAGGATGGAAAAAGATACTCCATGAAACAGTAACCAAAAGAGAGCTGAAGTGGCTATACTAATATCAGAAAAACATAGACTTATTTATCTCTTGTAAAAATAAAATACAGTGTGTGTGAAAACAAATTATTACAAGACAAAGAGGAATCTTCTATAATAATAAAAGGGTAAAAAAAAAATAATAATAATAATAATAAAAGGGTTAATCATCAAAAAGATACAACAATGATAAGCATGGATACATCTAACAAAATTCAACAAGACCTAACATATAAGGACACTCCCCCCACAAAGGTAGAATACACATTCTTCTCAAGTGCACATGGAACAGTCTCTAGGATAGACC